ACAGGTGAACGTGAATGAGCCGGCCCAGCACCAGAGGTGGAAGGTTGTGGGTCATCTGGGTTTTCATCACTAATTACATTATCCTGGGCACTTTTTTCGGTCACACCCACTTGAAAACCATGGAATTCACTTTCACTGACATTTCCATCGCTGTTAGAGCTATCACTTGGGAACAAAAGACCTCCAATCTGCTGAGGAGTGAGGTACTTCTTACTGCGAGGCATAGTGAAAATGGACGACCAAGATGGCGTTCCCACAATGCACCACTGAGTCCCAGATTTTTTTCACAGGGTGCACACCCACCACTCAGACCTATTCTCTCTCATGTAGGCCTACCAGCTTTCTCCCGCTTGATTTGAAGCCGCTAGAATTTATGCGTATAAATACGTCCAAAACAGTAGCGCACAAGACGTATATATATGACCGAAACAGTCAAAGGGAAAAGGAGAGTATAATCAGCAAAAAGTAACTGTGTCAATTCCCATTTTGTATTGATTCCCCATAATTTAATCCCACCCCTCTCCCGAACACCCTAGCATTTACTACTTTTACAACCCTATCTATAAATATATTAAACAACCATGGTGACATTACACATCCCTGTCTAAAACCTATTTTTACCAGGAAGTAGTCTCCCTCTCTTCTACACACCCTAACCTGAGCCTCGCTATCCTCATAAAAACTCTTTACAGCACTTAGTGACTTACTACCTATTCCATATACTTGCAACATCTGCCACATTGTTTCCCTATCCACTCTATCATATGCCTTTTCTAAATCCATAAATGCAATGAAAACTTTCCTAACTTTAGATAAGTACTGTTCACATATATGTTTCAATGTAAACACTTGATCTACACATCCCCTACCTACTCTAAAACCTCTTTGCTCAATCGCAATCCTACATTCTGTCTTACCTCTAATTCTTTCAGTAATAACCCTACCGTACACTTTTCCTGGTATACTCGGTAAACTAATTCCTCTATAATTTTTACAATCTCTCTTGTCCCCCTTCCTGTTATATAAAGGAACTATACATGCTTTCTGCCACTCCCTAGGTACCTTCCCCTCTTTCATACATTTATTAAACAAAAATACCAACCACTCTAACACTATATCCACTTCTGCTTTTAACATTTCTGTCATGATCCCGTCAGTTCCAGCAGCTTTACTCACTTTCATTCTACGTAATGCCTCGCGCACCTCTCCCACACTTGCATCTTGCTCTTCTTCACTCCTAAAAGATAGTATACCTCCCTGGCCAGTGCATGAAATTACTGCCTCCTTTCTTCATCGACGTTTAAAAGTTCCTCAAAATATTCTCACCATCTACCCAATACCTCCATCTACTACTCCCCTACTGTTTTTAACTGACAAATCCATTCATTCCCTAGGCTTTCTTAACTTGTTTAACTCACTCCAAATTTTTTTCTTATTTTCACTAAAATTTCTTAACAATGCCTCTCCCACTCTATCATCTGCTCTCCTTTTGCACTCTCTCACCACTCTCTTTACCTTTCTTTTACTCTCCATATACTCTGCTCTTTTTATAACACTTCTGCTTTGAAAAACCTCTCATAAGCTACCTTTTTCTCTTTTATCACACCCTTTACTTCATCATTCCACCAATCACTCCTCTTTCCTCCTGCACCCACCCTTCTATAACCACAAACTTTTGCCCCACATTCTAATACTGCATTTTTTAAACTATTCCAACCCTCTTCAAACCCCCCCCCCCACTACTCATACTTGCACTAGCCTACCTTTCTGCCAATAGTTGCTTATATGTCACCTGAACTTCCTCCTCCCTTAGTTTATACACTTTCACCTCTCGTACTTGTTGTTGCCATTTTCCTTTTGTCCCATCTACCTCTTACTCTAACTGTAGCTACAACTAAATAATGATCTGGTAAATCTTTTGCCCCTCTATAAACGTGTACATCCTGGAGCCTACCCATCAACCTTTTATCCACCAATACATAATCTAACAAACTACAGTGGAACCTCTACTTGCGAGTTCAATACATTCCATGACCTTGCTCGCAACTGGATTTGCTTGTTTGCAGAGTCAATTTTCCTCGTTTAAATTAACTGAAATGCAATTAATCCGTTCCAGTGGAATTCTGTACTTCAATAATTTCGCTAATATCAACTCTACGGCTTATTTATCTATCTCACTTCATCTAATATGACATAAACAATATAAGTAACATAGAAACATGATATATACTCTAGAATGAATAAAATATGTCATTCATGTAGTGGTATGGGCAGTGTCGGCGGTGGACGAGAGCTTGTCTGGAGACCGGGCAAAATACTTCATGAATAATTTCGCTAATATCATCTATACGGCTTATTTATATATCACAGTTCATCTAATATGACATAACAAACAATATAAATAACATAGAAACATGATATATACTCTAGAATGAATAAAATGTGTCATTATATAACAGGTGAAGGCAGCCATAACTGCCCCCTCTTTGTTGTGGTGAACACTGCCATCTAGTGACGGCCTTTTGAAGCCGTCTATTATTATATTTATTATATGTAGTACATTATTATTATATATGTATTATTATTATACATATTTTTTTTTTTTTTTATCACACTGGCCGATTCCCACCAAGGCAGGGTGGCCCGAAAAAGAAAAACTTTCACCATCATTCACTCCATCACTGTCTTGCCAGAAGGGTGCTTTACACTACAGTTTTTAAACTGCAACATTAACACCCCTCCTTCAGAGTGCAGGCACTGTACTTCCCATCTCCAGGACTCAAGTCCGGCCTGCCAGTTTCCCTGAACCCCTTCATAAATGTTACTTTGCTTACACTCCAACAGCACGTCAAGTATTAAAAACCATTTGTCTCCATTCACTCCTATCAAACACGCTCACGCATGCCTGCTGGATTATTATACTATTATTATACTATGATTATTATTGTATTATAGTATTATTATTATGCGTATTATTATTATACATATTATTATTATTGTTATATAAATAATTTGTAATTTTTATTCACACAAAAAATATAAGATTTACTGTTATTCCTTATTGCAATAAATATATAAATAATGTCAACCCATTCACGACTGCATATTGAAACAGCCAAGCAATGGACCATTTTTCCTAGGTTGAGCTCTATTTCAAGGTACTTTTTGTAGTGAAAGCAATTAAAATCTTATCTGTTTCTGTAATATATCTCCATTCTATCAAATGAGACCAAAAAAACAAGAATACAACCATAAAAACCATTCAAAATTACCGCAAAGGGGTGGCTAATTGCTGAGAAGTGAACTTCATTATTTATGCTTAGATCTCTTTCATTTTTGGTGTACGCTAAGAAGCATCTTTCCATCATACATTGCCCAAGTTTCAATAAGATAGTCCAACAAACAAATGAGATACAATTCCTGAGATCAAGAGCAAGAGTCCCTCACCAGTGTCAAGGAACCTGCCTTGAGGTCTGCTCGCTTGTGGAAATTTTGCTCGCGTATGGAAGCAAAAAATCGACCCATCGACTGCTCGTATTTGGAAAAACTCGCATGTGGACATGCTCGCAAGTAGAGGTTCCACTGTACTTTCATTACATACTATATCATATCTTGTATATTTATTTATCCTCTTTTTCATAAAATATGTATTACTTATTACCAAACCTCTTTCTACACATACCTCGGTTAAAGGCTCCCCATTTTCATTTACCCGTGGCACCCCAAATTTACTTACTACATACTCCCTCCACAATATTTTTACCTACTTTAGCATTGAAATCCCATATATTTATTAAACAAAAATACCAACCACTCCAACACTATATCTCCTCCTGCTTTTAACATTTCTGTCATGATCCCATCAGTTCCAGCTGCTTTACTCTCTTTCATTCTACGTAATCCCTCGCACACCTCTCCCACACTCACAGCCTGCTATTCTCCACTCCTAAAAGATGTTATACCTCCCTGGCCAGTGCATGAAATTACTGCCTCCCTTTCTTCATTGACATTTAAAAGTTCCTCAAAATATTCCTGCCATCTACCCAGTACCTCCAGCTCCCCATCTACTAATTCCCCTACTGTTTTTAACTGATAAATCCACTTACTCCCTAGGCTTTTTTAGCTTGTTTATCTCACTCCAAAATTTTGTCTTATTCTCAGCAAAATTTCTTGACAGTGCCTCTCCCACTCTTTCTTTGAGGGTCACTAATCAAGGCAGAAAGCTTGTATCCAGCAAATTTGGTCCTTAAACAAGACTGAGCTGGTTTAAACAGAGGAAGAGTCCTAGGGTTTTTGAGGTCTTTAACTGAAATTCCACTAGGTGAAGATTTGTTAAACAAGTGGTGCCTATGTATTATAAAGACATCATTTCTGTTATGCATACATAATTATCTATTATTCAAATTTTCTATTACTGCGTAACATCTAGGAATATAACCCCCACAAATTTATAGACATAACTGTATTTGTGTCTATCTCTGAACTGGATTATCAGATGCAGAAAAGTTCAGATGTCATAATGGTATACTCCTACAGTAATGAAAGAATTAACAGAAAGAGAAAGTCTGCACAATTAAAGTATGTACTTTCCTGTTTCTTAAAGCATGAAACGTGTAGTAAGGGCTTATAAACATTGAAAAATCCTTCATCATTTTTCATGGAACACATGAGTATAACTGCTCCAGTAACTGCAAATAGGTAATCACTAATTTAAATGGTGACTGGTTTACATAAGGTATAAATCAGTATGGAAAGTATTCCATATGTTTTGGTTGTATTTGTTAAATATGTGTTAAAATTTGTAGAACTGGAAAATGTGATTCATGGTAAATGTATTGAAAAACTTTTTAGTTTGTTCTTTACTGTTTTGATTAGTAAAAAAATATGTAAGATTTTGTTGATAGAAAAGCACTAGTGAGAGTGCTGTTAATACATGAGATTAGTTGTATACAGTAATATTTGTCACATCTTAATACAGTATATTTTAACAACACTTTTAGAGTTACTGCTGCCAGACAGAGTTTCCAGAGGGCTCAAGACAAATGGTGGGTGCTTGTACATACCATGCTCACCACTGTGGAGCTGGAACTGGAATTTTCCTCAGAGTGCGAGAGTGCAAAATCTTACTGTTGTCAGGACGTATCAAAGGTAAGCATAGAAACTTGAAATGGTCTTTTGGATTGAACATTAGAAATGTTTGACAGAGAATCTGCATTTAGAAATTAAGCATCTGAGTTAAACATTAGCTAATGCCTTAGTTAGAAAATATTGCACCAGGCCACGGGGGCATTGTTCCCCGGAATGCCCTCCATGTAGGTAGGTAGGTAGGTAGACAGTGCTGGTCATTAAAGTTTGCCAGGTAGAAGGTAATGGCCATACTTCAATGTCCTAAGTAATACCCTACCATGGTAGGTTTGTCGATGAAATAAAAAATTATGGTGGCCCTGGAACTCAGTGGGATGTGTCAGGACTCTTTAAGGTTATCAGTGTTGAAATCAATCAGCTTGAGCTGAGAGTCTTTGTTGGACAATGTGGATCACTTTTTGAATTTAAAGGTATTGCAGTTTTAAAAAATACTTTTGCAAAGAAATTTGTTTTTATTTTGTTTTACTGACTAAGGATATTGTAATATAAATATAGATGCTTCTGTAATTATGAAGTCTTCACAGCTGTTATACTGCCTCAGTTCATTTGAAAGTTTCCTCTTCATATGTTATGATTGAGTCTTTTTAATTCAAGTCTCTCAGCTATTGTTGAATACAGTAGGGTCCCACTTATACGGCAGGTTAAGTTCCAGGCTTTCACCAGAAAGCAGACATCGCCGGAAAGCATAACACCATTTTTTCCATTTATAAATGCATATATATGCCAGATAACAAGTTTACACTTATATTAAGTTAGTAATAGAACTAGGCATTAAAAAATACAATAAAAAGTAAAATACATACACAGTACATTCATTACTTACCTTAAAATATTTGTAGTCTTAATGTAGACCAAGAGGTGAGTAGTACTTATTTGTCAGGTGTAGGTAGCCCTGGCTCCCCATCTCATACTTAATATATGATATTTAATGCAGCCCAGAGAGAGAAAATGCACATACAGTACACCATTGTTTACCTTAAAATATGTGTAGTCTTAATGTAGGATTAGAGGCAAGTAGTATTTATTTGTATGAAGTCAGCCGGTAGGTGTAGCCCGCTTGGGCTACACCTACCAGCTACCTACACTGAATTTAATCGTTTCTAACAACTATCTTTAGATGCCATCATAAACGAAGGGAGAAGTAATGAAAAATTCATGCCGACAATTGCAAACAAAAGCAGAGTGGGGGAGTGACTAGGCCAAACACAGTTTCATACACATTTTCTCTGGTGCTGGACCAGAGAAAACGTAATGTTTTCCTTCTGCCCAGCTGCCACACAGGTACACAAGTATTATTATCAGAGCACATGTAAAATATGCAATAAATGCCAGACAACAAGTTTACACTAACTTGTATTAAGTTAGCAATTTAAGCAAGAGGCTTACGACTCCTCTTTTTATCACAACTAAGCTTAGATGCCATCTTCAGTGAGAGCCAGCTAGTTAATGAAAGAGTAAATGAGAGAGAAAGAATGAGATACAAAGTTCAGACAGCGTAAAAACACAAACTAAACAGGTAGTGGGCAATCACTTGGTCAGGTGAATTAAATGCTTATAAATACATGTCTACTTTTAATTCATTCACGTCCATTTGTAAGAGTTTGTAAAACCTCAAAATATTTTTTTTTTATAGTAATAATTACCTCACACTACAAATACTCTTACATTGTGTACCAGTTGTACAAGTTAGTACAGAATAAACAATCAGCAACACTCCCATTCTCATGCAACACACCATTTTTAGAGTGAATGATATTATTATTATTATTATTATTATTATTATTATTATTATTAAAAAGAAGCGCTAAACCCACAGGGGCCGTGAATTGCTATATATAGAGTGAAGGCATATGAAAGGAACGTTTTTCTACAGTTATCCACCAGTGTTTGCCTAGAGGAAACGTAATTCTTCCCACACTTCTACAAAGCCTCTTTGTAAACAAATCTCATTTGTGTCAATTTTTATTCTGTGGGTGTATGTATCATGTTTATATGCTATGTAATGTGTTTCTTTTATAATTTTGAAGAAAATATCATAGATGGATTAATGAAAATGTCTATATTAACGTAAAATAAGACATTTAATGTGCTCAAGAGTGATTATTATCACGTAGTACATAGGTAGTAGGTTGGTAGACAGCAACCACCCAGGGAGGTACTGCCGTCCTGCCAAGCGAGTGTAAAACGAAAGCCTGTGATTGTTTTACATGATGGTAGGATTGCTGATGTCTTTTGTCTGTCTCATAAATATGCAAGATTACAGGTATGTCTTGCTACTTCTACTTACACTTAGGTCACACTACACATACATGTACACATTTATTTATACACACTCATCTGAGTTTTCTTTGATTTTATCTTAATAGTTCTTCGTCTTATTACTTTTCCTTTTATATCCATGGGGAAGTGGAATAAGAATCTTTCCTCCGTAAGCCATGCGTGTTGTAAAAGTCAACTAAAATGCCGGGAAACAATGGGCTAGTAACCCCTTTTCTGTAAAGATTACTAAAAAGAATAAGAAGAAGAAAATTGTCAAAGTGGGAAGTCTGAATGTGCGTGGATGTTGTGCAGATGATAAGAAAGAGATGATTGTGGATGTTATGAATGAGAAGAAGCTGGATGTTCTGGCTTTAAGTGAAACAAAGCTGAAGGGGGTGGGAGAGTTTCAGTGGAGAGGAATAAATGGGATTAGGTCAGGGGTTTCAAATAGAGTTAGAGCTAAAGAAGGAGTAGCAATAATGTTGAAGGATAAGCTATGACAGGAAAAGAGGGACTATAAATGTATTAATTCAAGGATTATGTGGAGTAAAATAAAGATTGGATGTGAAAAGTGGGTTATAATAAGCGTGTATGCACTGGAGAAGAGAGAAGTGTAGAGGAGAGAGAGAGATTTTGGGAAATGTTGAGTGAATGCGTGGGGAGTTTTGAATCAAGTGTGAGAGTAATGGTGGTTGGGGATTTCAATGCTAAAGTGGGTAAAAATGTTATGGAGGAGTAGTAGGTAAATTTGGGGTGCCAGGGGTAATGTAAATGGGGAGCCTTTAATTGAGCTATGTGTAGAAAGAGATTTGGTAATAAGTAATACATATTTTATGAAAAAGAGGATAAATAAATATACAAGGTATGATGTAGCACGTAATGAAAGTAGTTCATTAGATTATGTATTGGTGGATAAAAGGTTGATGGGTAGGCTCCAGGATGTACATGTTTATAGAGGGGCAACTGATATATCGGATCATCATTTAGTTGTAGCTACAGTTAGAGTAAGAGGTAGATGGGAAAAGAGGAAGGTGGCAACAACAAGTAAGAGGGAGGTGAAAGTGTATAAACTAAGGGAGGAAGAAGTTCGGGTGAGATATAAGCGACTATTGGCAGAAAGGTGGGCTAGTGCAAAGATGAGTAGTGGGGGGGTTGAAGAGGGTTGGAATAGTTTTAAAAATGCAGTATTAGAATGTGGGGCAGAAGTTTGTGGTTATAGGAGGGTAGGGGCAGGAGGAAAGAGGAGTGATTGGTGGAATGATGAAGTAAAGGGTGTGATAAAAGAGAAAAAGGTAGCTTATGAGAGGTTTTTACAAAGCAGAAGTGTTATAAGAAGAGCAGAGTATATGGAGAGTAAAAGAAAGGTAAAGAGAGTGCAAAAGGAGAGCAGATGATAGTGGGAGAGGCACTGTCAAGAAATTTTAATGAAAATAAGAAAAAATTTTGGAGTGAGTTAAACAAGTTAAGAAAGCCTAGGGAAAGTATGGATTTGTCAGTTAAAAACAGAGTAGGGGAGTTAGTAGATGGGGAGATGGAGGTATTAGGTAGATGGCGAGAATATTTTGAGGAACTTTTAAATGTTAAGGAAGAAACAGAGGCAGTAATTTCATGCACTGGTCAGGGAGGTATACCATCTTTTAGGAGTGAAGAAGAGCAGAATGTAAGTGTGGTGGAGATACGTGAGGCATTACGTAGAATGAAAGGGGGTAAAGCAGCTGGAACTGATGGGATCATGACAGAAATGTTAAAAGCAGGGGGGGATATAGTGTTGGAGTGGTTGGTACTTTTGTTTAATAAATGTATGAAAGAGGGGAAGGTACCTAGGGATTGGCGGAGAGCATGTATAGTCCCTTTATATAAAGGGAAAGGGGACAAAAAAGACTGTAAAAATTATAGAGGAATAAGTTTACTGAGTATACCAGTAAAAGTGTACGGTAGGGTTATAATTGAAAGAATTAGAGGCAAGACAGAATGTAGGATTGCGGATGAGCATGGAGGTTTCAGAGTGGGTAGGGGATGTGTAGATCAAGTGTTTACATTGAAGCATATATGTGAACAGTATTTAGATAAAGGTAGGGAAGTTTTTATTGCATTTATGGATTTAGAAAAGGCATATGATAGAGTGGATAGAGGAGCAATGTGGCAGATGTTGCAAATATATGGAATAGGTGGTAAGTTATTAAATGCTGTAAAGAGTTTTTATGAGGATAGTGAGGCTCAGGTTAGGGTGTGTAGAAGAGAGGCAGACTACTTCCCGGTAAAAGTAGGTCTTAGACAGGGATGTGTAATGTCACCATGGTTGTTTAATATATTTATAGATAGGGTTGTAAAGAAAGTAAATGCTAGGGTGTTCGGGAGAGGGGTGGGATTAAATTTTGGGGAATCAAATTCAAAATGGGAATTGACTCGGTTACTTTTTGCTGATGATACTGTGCTTATGGGAGATTCTAAAGAAAAATTGCAAAGGTTAGTGGATGAGTAAGGTGATGAGGGTGTCCAATGATTTAGATGAAGAAAAATTGGATATCAAATTGGGGAGGAGGAGTATGGAAGAAGTGAATGTTTTCAGATACTTGGGAGTTGACGTGTTGGCGGATGGATTTATGAAGGATGAGGTTAATCATAGAATTGATGAGGGAAAAAAGGTGAGTGGTGCGTTGAGGTATATGTGGAGTCAAAAAACGTTATCTATGGAGGCAAAGAAGGGAATGTATGAAAGTATAGTAGTACCAACACTCTTATATGGGTGTGAAGCTTGGGTGGTAAATGCAGCAGCGAGGAGACGGTTGGAGGCAGTGGAGATGTCCTGTCTAAGGGCAATGTGTGGTGTAAATATTATGCAGAAAATTCGGAGTGTGGAAATTAGGAAAAGGTATGGAGTTAATAAAAGTATTAGTCAGAGGGCAGAAGAGGGGTTGTTGAGGTGGTTTGGTCATTTAGAGAGAATGGATCAAAGTAGGGGTAGGGGTCGTCCTCGAAAGGGTTGGAGAGAGGGGTTAAAGGAGGTTTTGTGGGCAAGGGGCTTGGACTTCCAGCAAGCGTGCATGAGCGTGTTAGATAGGAGTGAATGGAGACGAATGGTACTTGGGACCTGACGATCTGTTGGAGTGTGAGCAAGGTAATATTTAGTGAAGGGATTCAGGGAAACCGGTTATTTTCATATTGTCGGACTTGAGTCCTGGAAATGGGAAGTACAATGCCTGCACTGTAAAGGAGGGGTTTGGGATATTGGCAGTTTGGAGGGATATGTTGTGTATCTTTATATGTGTATGCTTCTAAACTGTTGTATTCTGAGCACCTCTGCAAAAACAGTGATAATGTGAGAGTGTGGTGAAAGTGTTGAATGATGATGAAAGTATTTTCTTTTTGGGGATTTTCTTTTTTTGGGTCACCCTGCCTTGGTGGGAGATGGCTGACTTGTTGAAAAAAAAAAAAAAATATTACCATGAGTAGAGAGACTCTTAGTGATTTTAATGTGTACCTGCATGCTAGCACAGTGTGTAAGTATATTTAGGTACAGGTACACATGGGTATAATTATCAGAGTACATGTACATATAAAATATGCAATAACTTTAAAACACTTGAAATTTTGGAAAGTTTCCAGACGTAATAGATGTGCTCACGGAGAATGTAAACAAACCAGGTGGGGCACACCTTATTTGAAAGACCGCTCGCCGTATAACAAATTTTGGTCATAATTTGAAATAATCATATTACCGGAACGCCGTAAAGCAGGGCCCTTCTGTATATAGGGATGAGTGGAAGAATAATTCTTAGGTTCTTGTATTTGTGATGCACATGTTATTACCACCCAAAGTATAAAAGCTATGAGCTTCAAATTCCAGATTGATTCTATAAGCCATATTTTCCAACATTTAATTACATGTTCTAAAAGTTGTGTATTTTCAGGATGTTTCGTTAACCCTCCCTACCTTGATGAGTATGGAGAGACTGACCAGGGCTTGAAGCGTGGCAATCCCTTGCATTTGGATGCTACACAGTACTCACGTTTGCATACTATGTGGCTCTCTCATGCCATTCCTGACACAATTGCTCATACAATGGAGAGCAATTCAAGTGTTGTGGCAACTGAATGGCAGCATCTCTAATGGCTCAATTTGTGTAGGATTGTAATAGATGCCAGATCAGGGATATTTGCTGCTTTTATATGGTTCAGTATACTTGTATGGCAAATAGTCTGCTAAGGATTATTGTTTCACCACATTTTGTTAAGACAATATGTTTATTTAGTGGAGTTCTACAGCTAGAATTGTGTCAGCTCGGTTTGCCTTACTAAGTTTAATGCTCTTTCTTTTACAACTTAATTATACAATATATGTACACTTTAAATGCAGATGTAAAAAAAACAAAAGGAACAAGATACTTACTTCTTTTTCTTTAAATATCATGCCCAAATAACTTCATTAATTAACTAGTTGTGTACTGGTGGTGACTAAATTATCATTTGTCTGTGGTTGTAGCAGCATCAGTTGCTAACCTTTGTGAATGTGGAGTTGTAAGTCAGTTGGTGTGTTGATAGACTGCAGTTTGACCTAAACAAGTAGACTGAATCTTAACAAACATACATAATCAAAGCTTTAGATAGATTTTGAAATTACTAAATGCGTAAAAGGAGGAGAAAATTGTTACTACTGTCATGTATGTACAGAATGTAAAGCATAGAATTAAGAGTTTTGGTATACTACTGTCATAGATTGTTGTGGAAAGTGTCATGTCATGAATTCTGCAGTTTGGCAAAAGTCTAAATAAAATTTTAGTTTTATAGATTTCTTATGTTTTGTGAATGAATGGTTTCATCTCTTTTATGTAAATGCAAAGTTTCTTTGTCAATTTTAAGAACTTTGTCATGTTATGTTGAATAAACTAGAAATACATAGCAGTGTAATGAAGCATTATATCTCAACTTGCACTATTAATATGTGCAAGTTCTGTTCAAAGAAAAAGAATGAAAAAGTTGCATATTTCCAATTCTTCAGAATTGTCAGATTGCCATTCATTGCACCTGTAGAATACTATATTGAACAGCTGTAGTACAGATGCAAGGTATTACAGTTTTAAAAATATAAACTTTTAATTCAAGGTAACATCAAAATTTTGTAATAAGTATCCTAACCAGCTTATTACTTAAACGTGGCATTCAGAACTCTGTATATATTTGCTGGTAGCATCATAATATAGCACAGCTGACAGCAGATTGTGAAGCTGATTTTCATATCAAAACTTGCTCTTTTAATTGGGAACATTTTACTTGGTTAGTTTTATGGGCAGTAAATATATGCATGCAAGTATAATTTTGGCTTTAAAAAGCACAGCTTGCTAACTTTGCTTATTCAGCAAGCTGGAACATTGTAGGACTGCATCTCATACCCTACATAAGTTTAGGCACCATTTCAATTGGTATATTTACCTTCTTTTTTATTCATCATAAATTTATTTTCATATTCATAGCACTCCAGTTGCCATCTTAACTTCATGCATTTAATTTACTTTATCATTCATAGACACATCCAGTCCCAAATATCTAAATACAGTTACTTCATCTAAATCTCTCTTGGTATCCAATCTTTCATTTCATGTATTTTTCAGTCATAACTTTACTTTTGTGTACGAATGGTATATAATACCGACAAGATGAGAGTAAGACACATGTGCAACATCTGGGTATCTTTATTGTAGACGTTTCGCCATCCAGTGGCTTTATCAATACAAATTCTAGGACATAACTTGAAGACAGTAGAACTATGTACAGAAGATGAGGTAATCAGTCCCTCAACCTACTCGCACCTACTCCTAGGTTGAGGGACTGATTACCTCATCTTCTGTACATAGTTCTACTGTCTTCAAGTTATGTCCTAGAATTTGTATTGATAAAGCCACTGGATGGCGAAATGTCTACAATAAAGATACCCAGATGTTGCACATGTGTCTTACTCTCAACTTTACTTTTCTTTCTGTATTCACTTTCAGCTTCATTTATACATCCTCCTTGACTTCTCCAATTTAATCTACTCTTCTCAACTTTTTTTCTGAATCTTCTAAAGTTCTCTCATCAGTAAAGAACAAGTAGTAGCTCCCACGTCATATCTTTGAGGCCAGCACCTCTTTTGTCTAAATTTAAGGCTTGCTCCTACTCCCCTCATCTTTTACATCATCCCCCTAACCTGACCCTCACTCTCCTTGAACTGTCAACCCATTTCCTATTATGGATATTTGCAGCACCTTCCAAATCACTAGTCATTTTTTTTTCCAGTTTAATAGTGCAACAAACAGCTGCTTACCTTTACCTAAATATTGCACACTTATATGCCTTAATGCAAACACTTAATATTCATCTTCACATCCTCTTCTGTTCCTAAACTCTTGTTCTTTTGCATTTCTCCTGTTTCCTATGTCTTTTAATTATAATTCTGTCATACAGTATGAACTCTAGTCAACATACATTATTTCCCTATAATTCTGGCACTTCCTCTTTTTTCTTTATACACAAGAATTAAGTTCTCTGCCAATCATTAGCTGCCTTCCATTCTTATGAATAATCAACAAATAACTCGTCATTCTAAAACTTTATAGGCGTCTGCTTTAGTGCCCCCCCCATTATCTACGCTTCTTACTGCCTCATCCGCTTCCTCTGTACTCAAGTGGTGAACGAACTGTTGAATACCAATATTTCACATTCATCAGATTGAGTATTTATGTTGTGAACTTCATGACTAGTTCATAAATAGTCTTATAAACCATCCCTGATGCTTCTGAGATTTTTAAAGCTTTTTGTTTTAACTCTAGAATGATTAATAAAAACACATTGTTTTGAAAGATTTCAGGGCATCTCAACCTTTACACTGTCAAAGACCTTGATGTTATTTATTTTATTATATTATCACACTGGCCGATTCCCACCAAGGCAGGGTGGCCCGAAAAAGAAAAACTTTCACCATCATTCACTCCATCACTGTCTTGCCAGAAGGGTGCTTTATGTCCCTTTTATTTCAGTCTTTAAAAGAATTTATATTTTAAGATAAGAGAATCATTTTCTAAAGGTAATTAGACCAAAAATAATGAGGTTTGTTCAAAATTCACAGAATTATGAAAGTGCATTGCTGAAAATCGTGGATTGCTTGACAGCAACAGCAGGTCTTGCTACATTTCCTCTTTTTTTATTATTATTATTATTATTATTATTATTATTTCTTTCAACACACCGGCCGTATCCCACCAAGGCAGGGTGGCCCAAAAAGAAAAACGAAAGTTTCTCTTTTAAATTTAGTAATTTATACGGGAGAAGGGGTTACTAGCCCCTTGCTCCCGGCATTTTAGTTGCCTCTTACAACACACATGACTTACGGAGGAAGAATTCTGTTCCACTTCCCCATGGAGTATTATTATTATTATTATTATTATTATTATAAATGCAAACATGGTTTCCTGTGGACTCTGGTGTGTATCAAGAATTTCAGTACCCAAATTTTGTGGCACACAATTCCACAAAATATATACACTCGCTGAACCTTGGAACGTTTTTATCTTATTTATTTTTTTTTACTGTTTCTTACATATGTACACTATGTACAAACATTGTATATGATATGAGAATTGTTGCTGTGTGTGTGGAATGCCTCAGAACAAGTTATGAGGTACAGTAGTGTCTCGCAGGACTTAGATACATGTATATATCATGTATCTTTGCATTGTTTGAGGTTTATCTTGCATTGTTTGAGGTTTTCTCATGGAGCGAGAGCACACATCTCTTTTGAGCCTTTATTTTTAGTACAATGAATTAGTGCTAAGTAATGATTGCAATTACCAGGCTTCAGATTGTAAGGAATTAGTTGGGCTGGAGTTATAACCTATGGACTGGCTGGGTTGAAAGCAATCTTATGGGCATTTCCAGTGTCACTTTCACTCGCTTTCTCACTTATAGAACTCCACATCAGAATCCTAGCTGTTAGAATCCTTAAGTATTAACAGTTAAGTGGTTAATTGTGGTGGGAGTGAGTTTACATATGTAAGCATGGTTAACAAAGGTTAAGAGGTGGCTGTTCCCATTATGCTTTTTATGGGGCAGTATATATTGTATACTACTCACACCCATGTGTGCAGATCCATTTGCTCATTTATTTGCTTAAATTACTGCTCATAGCAAACATGAAGGCTTTATGAATTTTTTTTTCCTCCCAACACTGGTCATCTTCCATCGAAGTACATACTGCACCTCCAGCTAACCACTAAAATATACGAGTCAATGCTGTAGGTTCAAACCAACGAACTCTGACAAGAGAGGCAAAGTCACATGTATCTGCCCATATGCCAGGCTTATTTTTAGTAATTTATACAGAAGGGGTTACTAGCCCATTGCTCCTGGCATTTTAGTCAACTTTTACAACATGCATGACTTGCGGAGGAAAGATTTTTGTTCCACCGCCCCATTTTTTTTTTTAGGAAATTGATCCCCAGACCACAGTGATCAGAGGAATAACACTCACCACTGAGCTATGGATGTTGGTATACATTATGAATTACGCATACTATTGTGTCATTGATATGCACCACACGGCCATACTGGTACATCACCAGCAGCTTAATAATTAAGAAATCTCGTCTGCAAATTGTAAGGGCTTTTCTAAATACGGTAGAAAAACTTAAGTAATGCAATCATAGCTCATGCTTTCAATGTTATGTTATTTAAATTTGGTTTTTACGTTTCAAATAGAAGCATGCCCATTTCCATTGAGGCATGTAGAAGCAGAATTCTTTTCCGTTGGTGGCACGCATTTCTGTTAAGTGCAGTGGCTGGCAGGTATATATCAATGCTCAATTTTTCCTTTTTATCACTCCCATCTCATTTCTTGATATTTTTCATGGTATCCAAACAAAGTGCAGGCAGTGCTTGTGAAACAAGGAAGAAAATTAACCATGACATTAGCCCAATTTTGATAAAATTTGAGGTAATTGAGATGTTGAAGGGTGGTTTGTGCGTCATGAGGGCGGCACAAGCGTTTGAAGTTAGAGAATCAATGATTCATTCAATTAGAGACAGTGACATGAAGGTAAAGGCTTATGGTATGAGTAAGCCTCAATGTGACAGTGAAAAGAATGAAGAATAGGCTATTACAGCTAAACAAAAAGTTTACTCAATGTGTGGATTGCAAAGCAAACAAAGGTATTCCATTTAGCCTTATTAATAAGAAAAACTTTTTTATTCTTTTCTTTTTTAATACTTTGGCCATTTCCCACTGAGGCAGGATGACCCAAAAAAGAAACACACTCGCCATCTTTCATACTGTGAAACTGTGTGAGAAAAGAGGACATCACTAATACAAGTGTACTTTTATTACTGGATGGTTTAACCAGTTTAGAATGTCCACTGAGCTACATAAAAAACGGCAGGGTAAAACTAACCAGCGGCATATGACAGAATACCTGAGCACTCCACTACAGCAATCAACTGATATACTTGTCGCATCAGCATCCCAAGATCCCCATCCTTCAACATCACAACAACCCCAACCTATCGACTCATTCCACCACATTAAACATCAGCAACTTGACTTGAAGGTAAGTAACAAATACTCTGCAGTATTAAAGCAACATGTACTTTTCCTTTTTCACAGTCTGAACCTCACTTACGTTCAGAAACTTACTTTTGAAGCATTATATTAAGAAAAATTGTTATAGCTCTCTTGGAGGACATAGGAATGCAACCCTACTTTTTCCCCACATGTTTTTCAGTCCATAAATTGTGGCAGTTATTGGCATCGCAGTTTTCAGGAACTTAACCGTGTAAATGATTGTCCAGTGTAATGAAATGTGTGTGTTCTGTGTAATTGTCTTTCATGGTTAAAATTAAAATGTACATACAAGCAGACATTCATGGATTTTATTTGGCCATTGATGAAAAAATACTAAGTTGTTCAGTTAAAGGAAATCCTAGACACTTTCATTTTCAGACTCCGTGCACAAACTTCATCCTCATCTAAACTGTCTTGTATTAAAATTAACTGGTAGTATATCCTTTAGTTTACCCATGAAGAACTCTATGCACAGATTACTAAGAATGACTGCCAGAATTTCCCATTGGCATGCCCCCCCCCCCCTTTTTTTTTTTTTGTGTGTGTGTGTGTGTTGTGTACTCACCTATTTGTGGTTGCAGGGGTTGAGTCATAGCTCCTGGCCCCACATGTGTGTGTGTGTAAGTGTAAAAGACTCAATGACAACATACATCTGTGTATGTAGTTCTCTAGCAAGAAAGACTAATAACACAGTAACTGTGACCTAAATGAAAAAGTGTAGTGTTAACAAAACTAAAGCCTGTAGTCAAGTTAATTGAAAGTTGCTCAGTTTAGAGAATGACATTTGCCGAACAGTCAGGTTGCAAATTTAGCAGTTTTAATGATTTGTAAGCTGGTAATCCAGTTGAGCTAGTAATTGATTGGCCTTTTGATCAAACCATACAACTAGGGCATAGCAGAAGCTTACTGATGGTTGATTAGCATTTATCTTTCAGAGCTCTTTGAAGATATGTACTTATTAAAATAAGCACTAACTTCTTTTAAAAGAGCTTTTAGTTTAAGGAATATACAAACGTATCAGCATAGTTTAATTTTTTTAAATCTCGACTTCTGTCTTCCACCAAGGCAGGATGTTCCCACCAGAAAAATACAATCACTTTCATTCATCAAGTCTGTCTTGCCAATCATTTTCTTAAATCATTTGTATTAAGGACAACATTAACACTCAGTTATCTGCCTCAGTAGTGTACATATCACTGTCTTTCTTTAATTCCTAGTAAGCTTTAGTAAATCTAATAGGACAGTTAAGTTTTGCAGGTTGTATCAAATGCTAATAAATTTGGTGTAAAACCCAAATTTATGGTGAACACAGCAGCGCTGTATAGCCCTTGTGGCTTAGCGCTTCTTTTTGATTATAATAATAATATGGTGAACACATTGCTTGGTTTCAGACAACACAGGATTATACCAAACTGTTTTAAGCATAAACATTATGAATATTTTTTAATGATTATTTGCTTCTAATCATTAGTGGACATTTGTTTTTCATCAAGTACATTGTCTCTAGTTTTACCTTATGTGATGGTCCTTGTTTTACCAAACTCAATGGTCCCTAATTTACCTTACATGGTCTTTTGTTTTACCTTATATAAATGATGGTCCTCTTTTTGCATTTAATCATCCTTTTTTTCAATGATAGTTCCTATTTTTAGATGTACATACAGAATATACCATAAATAAAATAAATTTTATATCATTTACTTTGATGCTTGGAGAATATATTTTGTTTATTTGTTAAGGATACTAGATTTTGATTTTGACATTTTGATATTGATCTTATGGGAAGACATTATTTGTAGGCTTGAGCCTCTGCAAGATTTCTTTCCAATGCTGGTTGAAATTTTCATGGAATCAACCTTGAGATTATGGTGCAGATAATAGTTCGAATTTTTACATTATTATGGAAGGTCATCTTTCTTGTCAGGCTTCATATAAAAAAAACAAGAGTACTTTTATTTAATTTTTGTTTTGGAAAAGAATATTTTTATACATTATTTTTTAATTGTTGCAGGATTATAAAATTTAAGACGTTATATCCTGTTCAAGAATAGGATGTAAAATACTTATTCTCTTTAATTAATATTAGTCAAGCAATTGCATTTTTCAATAAATCACTGAAAATTTTTTATTGGTCATTGATCTTGTAAAACTACTGTGGATGAAACTTAATTTTTCTAATATTTGTAATCTTAAGCTGTAAAAGAAACTGAATATAATCAGATTGATCTCCCTTTTTAATTTTTTGTTTAAGCATATAATGTATGTATAGTACATGTACTCTACATACTGGTAAATATATTTTGCAAATCACTTTTCTTAAGTTACCTACAGTCTTGTACATAAAACTTTTTATTCAGCAGCAGTGAGGCAAGTAATCTCATTTAATTTTCTTAAATTTACAGATTTTAAGACTTGACAGATTCAACAAAAGTAAAGTACAGTACTCTACACCTGAGTGCTTGTTGCATGGCGGAAGATTTTATAGGTGCATATTAGGAATGATCACATCAGAATATGCTGTAGTGTCAGTTGTCTTGAAGTCGTATTTATTTTTACTTTAGTTGCTGATCCATTTGTGTTCTTGCAACCCACATGTGCCCAGCAGAATGTTGATACAGTAATATAAGTTTTGTGACTGAAAATTGTTTACCTAATGTTGCAAAAAAGCCTTATGAATTACAAAAAGCTGAAAGTAGTGTGTGTGAGTCTTTCAGTATACTGTGAGCTAAGTAACACTGCAGAGATTTGAAGAGCTTGTTTTGTATTAAATAACTAATCACATCATGCTTAGTGTAATAGACATAGTCATCTTATTGCATCATACTAACAGTTAGAATGGTAGTTAACTGATATGTGACAGTTTGTTCATGAATGTGATTTTTTGCTGAACATGTGTATAAGGAATATGTACCACTAATATTGAATGGAAAAAGTTTAAAAATTTTGTATATCATTTTTGTTTTTGTTATGTCTGGCAGAGAAAGATAATATAAATTCTTGTAATTGTACTCTATTACTGTAGTTCAAACCACTGGCATTCTGCAAGCATCTGTATTAAAGCTGAGCAATTAAGAATTATGAGAATGAACACAACAAATAGTTGCCAAATACTGAAAAAAAACAGAGGATGGTCAGTACTGTATCCAGGCAGTTCTTAGGTTTTGATGCTCATGCTTCAGTGGTTAAAATATCACAAGGTTAGTTTTTGGTATTGAATATCTATTAAAAATATTGATAACATTTATTGACCTTTTGCTTTTAAGAATCACTTTTTTTTTTTTTTTTTTTTTTTTTGTCCAAATGCCATTTGTAAATTGTGTTTTGAGATACAGTAGTAGTGTTCATTCATATTGTATATGATTGAGATAATGGTAAATGTGTTTTACAGTTATGATAAGGTATTGCTCGAAGAAATTCATATACAGTTTAAATTATATGTATAGAGAATAAGAGGAGAGTTAATCTCAAAATGCAAAATAATCTGGGCATATACAGAGGAACTAAAGAGCCACGACACTTCACAAAATCTTTTTTCAGATGTAAATATGATGCACTAGTTCAGGTGTGTCAGTCTCAAGTTAAAGAAGCTGATCCGAAAGCCAAAACTTCCCACCTTACTCAAGTTCAAAAAGTGATAACAAATAGGTTGTGTGTGTGCCATCATCCCTACAGATTTGTAGAGGATTAAATTTGTAGAGGTCATGCAAAACTAGAAACTGAATAATAAAAATCAAGTTACATATTTTTTTTCAGATCTGGGTTTGTTTATGCTTCAGAGATCACCTCTCCAATATATCAATAATTGGGTTAATAGTGACATTCATAAGAAATAATTGCAAGAATGAGAGAGAGATATGGGAGTGGGAAGGTCATTGAGCCAAAAGAAATGGTGGATAATTGAATCTGTTTGTGGGCTGCCCTTCAGTAAAGCAGTTAAATAATCAAAATCTGTGAATCTGTAGGGATGCTTATGCATGTGCACACTCTTTGGTGGCTGGCTGATAGGAAAAAAAAAGACATAATCATATACAAGGTTGTAAAAGACACAATAGTAGTAGAACAGTAGGTTGCTATATAGGAGTAGATACTGTAGTTGGTATGAATAGAAATTGCAATGAAGTTTATAGTAAAGCATTGGAATGTAAGATTGTGCACATAGCTCTCCTGTAGCTGCAAATAGGTCTATATCTAATCCGAGGAGGACTAGTCAGACAGGCGGCAACTGTACTTCAACCCCTTAAAGTGCAAGGTTTTGAAACTGGGAAGGAGAAATTAGATGCAGAATACAAAATTGTGAGGGATGTAAACTACAAATTTGACAAGAAAAAGGCTCTAGGGATAAGCAGAATCTGAAACACATCATCAGTGATGAACATTAGCTGAATAACTGCAGAATGTCCAGAAACTTGCTATAAAACAACAGTAGTTCCCAAGGTAAGAAGAATGAACTGTGAAAAAACTTAAGGAACTTGACCTTAAAAATTAGGAATATGGAAGAACCAGGGGGAATGGGAAGACATGACATACAGAACACTCAGATGATTTCATAATGCAGAAAGAGCAATGGGTATATTTTCAAAATGTGCAAATAATTTAGAGAGATCACCCCTCCAACAATGTCCCTTGATGCCATTGAGAAGCTCATTATGTAAGGAATTTGTTTGCCCATCCCCTCCCTTTCCTTGGTTTGAATCTGATTACCTCCCATTCCCACAGATGGTGACCCCAATGGGTTTAGTGCTTCTCCCATGAATGTAATAATAATAGTGATATCAGGCAGTAATTTAAATGTGGTTAGGAAGCTGAACAATTTTAAGGAGGAAATGGTGGAAGCAGATAGGGCCAATAGCACCAAAAATTTGCTGTCACCAATTGGAAATAGTTGGGGTCTGGGCCAGAAGTAGAGAGGTCATTAATCATAAATTTGCAAGTGCACTCACTATTATATCATTCACATTTGTGATATTGCTATACAGTACTGTATATAATACATGCATGTACACATACATTAATGTGGATTAAAAATACCTTCAGCAAATATATATTAGACATGACTATCTGCTTGAGTGTTTTAGAGGAGGAAGTGTAAAAATTTTGCAGTCATACTGTGTATTTATTCTTGTAAATTGTGTATTGCCAAGCTGTAATGCTGTGTTACAGGGCTGACTCAAGTATTCACATAAATACGTATATATATATATATTTTTTAAGTTGGTTATTTTTTTGTTAAAGCATTTATTTCCATGTTTCACGATGAGATGTTGGAGATTTTGAGAGTTTAAAAACAGCTCATTGGTGTACCACCTGCCTTGGTCTATTGGCATATCTTTCATGAGCACTCCTTGATAATGAAGTAGCCATCAAATACACTCTTCTCTGATACACGTGATTTGCTCGATAATTCAAAAAGAAGCATATTTTGACCATATTCACTGACTTTTTAAAGTGTTACTGAAATCCATAATATTTGTCCAAGGTTGCCAGATTGAAATGTAATGCATATCTAGTTAGCAGTGTTTTTGCTGTATTAATGCTTTGTAGTGTATAAATCATTAGTTTTCATCAAGCATTTTAAAGCTAAACACAAAAAAGCTTGTATATTGTGAAAATGTTTTTGTGAGATAAATGATATCAAGGAGTGTTGTACTATTAGTCCACTTCCTTGACTCTTCTAGAGCTAAATACTTAAGGAAGCTCCTTAAATCAGATACGCAGCTTCTAAGCAATGCGATGCATTGCAACCATTTAATTTTAAATTTCTTACATTATGTACATAAATTTTAATAAGCAAAACCATGTTTTTATTACCCCCTGCATGGTTTAAATAATTTTGTTATACTTGTTTCTATGACTTGTATTTAAAGGTGTTTAAAAAAAAACAATCAATATTTAATACTTGTACCCTGAAAGAAGAAAATGCAGAATAGAAGATTTGTTATCCTTCACCTAATAATGTTCCTACATTCAGCAGGGCTTTTACATTACCATGCTGTACTACACAAGTCTAACACTAGAAAGCATACTTAATTATCATTACAATACAGTCTTAACCCTTTGACTGTTTCCGACGTATAAGACGTATAAATACGTCTTAAGAGCCAATGTTTCTGACGTATAAAAATACACATAAATTCTAGCAGCTTCAAATCAAGCAGGAGAAAGCTGGTAGGCCCACATGTGAGAGAATGGGTCTCCATGGTCAGTGTGCACCATATAAAAAAAATCGGGGAGCCAGTGGTGCATTGTGGGAATGCCATTTCAGTTGTCCATTTTCAGCATGTCTAGCAGTAAGAAATATGTGATTCCCCAGCAAATCTGGGACTCTTCTCTTCCCAAGTGATGCTCTAACACAGATGGAAGTGTCAGTGAAGATCAATTTCATGATTTGGAGGAGTTTGAGACCAAAAGCAATGGAGGAGGAGGAGGGGAGGAAGAGGAGGAGGAGGAGAAGAGGAGGAGGAGGAGGAGGAAGAAGAAGAAGAAGAAGATGTAATAATATTGTTCCCTTGAAGCAAGAAAAAAAAAAGTCCACCCCATGACAGTGACAAGATAAGGGGAGATAACATCTGATAAGAGCTGACTTTGATGAGCGTAAACGAGGGTAGAGCTAAGGAAATATTACATGACCATCACCCTCCCTTTGTTTTTCTGGTACACAAACATTTCTGTCTGTCTATTTGTCTGTCTGTCAAGCTCCCTGTCTGTCCATCTAGCTCTCTGTCTCAGAGAGCCACAAGACTGCGTCATCACTTTTACTCACATCTTCAAGCAGAGTATAGCACTTTGTCTGGATTTCTTGGGTTATCCTAGGTAATTTACACTATGTATACTTGTATTTATGTGTACCTGTGAGACAGAGATAGGCAGACAGATAGAAAGAGAGACAGATTGAAAGATATAGAATGAGGGAGAAAGATAATTAGATAGAATGGAGGAGGGGAAGCAGCATCCGACCCCATTGTTTTGACAGGCGGTAGGGGGAGTGAGTAATGAGACAATATGTCACTTTGACAGCTGCGGACTTCTGACTCAAAACAATTATAAGCCACACACTCGCACACAAGACAAGGAGGAGGAGGAGGAGGATTGTTTGTTTGTTTTTGTAAACAAGTTTTGTAAACAATATATTGATAATTATGTTTGTGTGCTTATTGTGTTGTATACAACGAGTGTATATATGTACATTGCACCATACTTTGGTCTCATAGGCCACATAAGTTATGTGAAAAAATAAAATAGTGAAAAAACAAAAAACCTTCAGGTAAGACACATATGCAACAGTTAGGTATCTTTATTATGAAACGTTTCGCCTACACAGTAGGCTTCTTCAGTCAAGTACTTGACTGAAGAAGCCTATTGTGTAGGCGAAACGTTTCATAATAAAGATACCTAACTGTTGCATATGTGTCTTACCTAACAACCTGTCGGTATTTTATACCATTTTAATGTTCAATCTGTCAGACACTGCAACACAAGGGTATCTTGGTACAGACCTGCTATCAACTTCGACAACTTCCACCAGGGAGAGGGGCTGGATTTGAGAGGGACCTGACCTTTCAACATCTGAGTTCTTACCTCTCCTAGTGGCCTACGTCTCGCCTCTTGGCGCTATAAAAAGCTCCATCCTGTCACTTCTTCTCCATATTGTTTCATACTATGGAACAATGCTCTTCTCCAGACTGAGGGACTGACCACCTCAAAACTTTAAGGGTGATGGACTGATTACATCGTCTTCAAGTATCTTCTGCTTCTATCAACTTTTCTGTACTTGACTGAAGAAGCCTACTGTGTAGGCGAAACGATTCATAATAAAGATACCTAACTGTTGCATATGTGTCTTACCTAACAACCTGTCGGTATTTTATACCATTTTAATGTTCAAAAAAACCTTCAATTACAAGTAAACTAAAGTTTACCGGGTGAGCGGTAGTTGCCGCTGTTGCCATACGCGGCTCATTTTCTGCAAACTTCACGGCTCTATATCTCGGTAAGTACCGATGGCAAAAATTTTTTTTTTTTGGACTAAAACACTCAGAAAAATAATCTTAACATTTTCATAAGAAAAAGTAATTTTTTTTTTTTTTTTAATATTTGGCGACATAGAATGACAGTTTCAGAGAGGGGCCTGAAACAGTCAAAGGGTTAAACTATGTTGCATAAATTGCTCTTAGAATACATGTCTAATTTGTTTGTGGACAGTGCTTATATTATAGCTAAACTAACATTTGGTGGCCATAAACTCTTCCCCTCAATATGTAGCATGCCAACAGTTGCTGGTGAAGGAGCTCAAACCAGCACTACAACACTGCCACAAATATTTGTACAATGGCCACCAGGCTAACTATTGCAGGACTTGGGAAGAATATCCAATCTGTGGAGAAGCTTCATCATACAGCCAAGCCATTACTTGACTCTATTTACAGTGGAGAATACTCATACCCCTATTCCACTCGCCAACATCCAGTAGCACCCTCTTATAATCTTATTCCTGTATTTAACCCCATTTTTCCAGTTCTCATAGCTGATAATCCCACCTCTTCATTTGTCACAACTACCCCTCCCTACCCCATACACATTCCTCTCCAGCTGTCCCTTTGACACACCACATCCCCAAAGGCCTCCATAACCTTTCAGCTCGAGACCTAGCAACAACACTACCATTCCTTCACAAACTACATTTTGTGACCAACTATGTAAAACTTTAACTATTGTTACTTCTATTGCAAAAATACCCCGACCCCCCTGGTCGACATTCTTAACCTGTCCTTCCTAGATAAAAAAAATTGGCCCTACATTGACAAGCTCTTAACTAACTTGGCCCCTCAAGGAAGGTTCCTTGATGTTGGTGAGGGGCTCTTGATTTAGGGAATTGGATCTGTGCTCCAGTTCCCCGAATTAAGCCTGAATGCCTTCCACATCCCACCCCAGGCGCTGTATAATCCTCCGGGTTTAGCGCTTCCCCCTTGATTATAATAATAATAATTAACTAACTTGGGTTAGTCTCTCACAACACCCTCTTTCCTTGATGGCTGTCAATGTCTCTTCCCTCTCTCTTCCCCACTTAATTTGACCATCCTACAAATTCCACTACCTTTGTCTTCCCCTGCCTCCAGAGACACTTGAAGTAATAACAGAAATAGCTGAAGGAAATTCGACTAAATCAACACACAAAAACACTGCATGAGCAGTGCTGGATTTACCCATAGGCTTAGCAGGCTGAAGCCTAGGGCCACAAAATCTGGTGTGGGTCACATCCTGGGTGTTAGTGGACTAGTGTGGGTCACATCCTGGGTGTTAGTGGACTGGTGTGGGGTCACATCCTGGGTGTTGGTGGACTGGTGTGGGTCACATCCTGGGTGTTAGTGGACTGGTGTGGGTCACATCCTGGGTGTTAGTGGACTGGTGTGGGTCGCATCCTGGTTGTAAGTGGATTGATGTGGGTCGTATCCTGGGTGTTAGTGGACTCGTGTAGGTCGCATCCTGGGAGTTATTGGATTGGTGTGGGTCACATCCTGGGTGTTAGTGGACTGGTGTGGGTCACATCCTGGGACAAAAGTGACCTAATTTGCAGGAAATGCTCGGTATAACAAGGGACTTTCTATATAGTAGTATGTCATTGATGTCAGCTATGGTCTGTATAAGTTGTATCGTGTACTGGCAGTAATAAAGATATTATTATTATTATTACTTTTTCTTCCAGCCTTGCCGACAGCTTCACCTTCGACACAGACTTCCTCTTTAACTTTTAGACAGCAATAGATTTATTAAACTTTGATAATACTTCCTTTAGCACTTCTGACAGCCCATTCTAACTCAACCTCTGTTATCCTCTCCACCCCTGGCTATTTTCTGCTGCAGCAACACTCTCTGTCCTGAACCACTGTGTGACCCAAGTGGGTTTAGTGCTTCTTTTATATAAAAAATAATACACTACAGTAAATTGTTAAGTATTCCACATCACTACGGTAAACTATTCAGCATTCTACATCACTACAGTACAGTGTTATGTACTTTACATCACTACAGTAAACCCTTAAACGGTCCAAACGTATATATACGCCCTCTCGTACAGCGCCCCGAATATTTTGAGTATCAAAAAATTGTTTTGTTTTGTTTTTTTAATAGGAAAAAGGAGCATGTAGTACCCAGGTGTCCCCATTTTTTTTTTTTTATATGGCAGACACACTGAGTGCGCACACCCATTCTCTCGTATGTAGGTGACTCAGGCATATCGTACCAATGTTGAATGAATGACAAATCAAACATGTATATATATACGTTTGGGACGCTACACGAGAGAACGTATATATATGTTTGGACCGTTTAAGGGTTATATACACCACATCACTGCAGTAAACTGCTCAGTGCTCAACACGACAATAAACTGTTCAGTACTACACATCACTACAGTAAACTGTTATGTGCTCAAAATCACTACAGTAAATTGTTAAGTATTAAACATCACTACAGTTGTCATTCATCACTACAGAATGTTGTCAATCACTACAGGATGATTTCAATCATCATTACAGGATGCTGTCATTCTTCACCTACAGGATGCTGTCAGTCATCACTACAGGATGCTGTCAGTCATCACTACAGGATGCTCTGTCATCACTTGCATCACTGGAGTAACCAAAATAGTATACTTCTAGTTTCCTTCACTATTAGCTTCACTACATTACTATTAAAGAACCTTGAAGTAATGTACTGTAGTTAAGACCTTGAAGTAATATAATTTTTTTAAGAACTTGAAGTACTATAATACAGTTAAGACACTGAAGGAGTGAAAT